CTGGCGGTCGATGTTGCTGAAGATGTTGCGCTGGTCACCGCCATCGCCCAACGCGTGAATCCAGCTGTGAAGATTGATGCGGTGATTGCGTGAGCATTTAAACGTTTGTCTCTTTGATGTCATGCTGACACCTATTTCAAGAGTTGGGAGGAAGCGTATGGGTCTTCCAATGTGTCCCTCAGTGAAAGTCCAACTAATCTACCCTCTCTTTGTTAGGTTATTGGATGGGTCTTGCGGCTAGCGTGAATTTTCCGGGCAACACCATAGAAGAATGTCTACAGGTTCTACATACTGATATTGTTCAAGTGTGGAACATTCAGGATGATTGCGGGGTAAATATTTCAACATCACTCCCTCTTCTCACTTATGGTTATGGCTGTTAGTATCTGGAAAGCAAGGAACTGAAAAAGCTAATGATTGAACTTGTTGGGAATCAATATGACGGGCCGTCAGATCCCAACACAATATTGTAAGTCAATTTTGTCGACTGTGCCACCTTTTTTTTTTACAAGTTGTCAGTCCCCATGCTTATTCGCTGCTTGGTGCCTTGACTACGTTAGTTGGGGGTTTAACTGCACCTGCTGCTCCCATTGTGATTCCTATTGTTGCGGGTCTCTTGCTGGCAAAATGGATTTTCGATGTGTACAAGCAATCGTATGTCTTCCTCACTATGCCATGTTAAAACGCTAAGTGGGAAAACTTTAGGGCACTCATGCTGCAACGTTTAATGGCATACATCGTTGACTTCACAATTATTATGCAAATAATTTTTGGCCTCCTGGTGAATGCCCGTCTACGCCTTTCCCGCCGCTTGATCAAGCTCGCCTTTAAGGCCTACAGCATTTCAGACGAAAGGAGCAAAGTTCACAAGGAGATTAAGGAACATGTGAAGCTGGCAAGCCGCCTTGACCGGGATGCAGCTCTGGCGAAGATCATCCAATTGATCAAGGAGTATCAGATGAAACCCGAGAGTATGGAGAAGCTACAAAGTGGAGTTAAGGCCTTCGAGAACAATGAGGACGAGGATTGGGGCGTAGGCAAAGCGTGACTTAATGATTTGATTCCCTGTGTACCATGTTGTCTGTATACACATGCCGTAAGTAATCCGAACAAAAATGAACCGCGAAGTTGATGTGCCGAATAAAAAATACAAGTGCGCCACTAACCTGAACGAAGAGAAGCCAGTAGAATGACTTTATATAGGACCAAGAGCTGGTGTGATGGTTAAATGGAGGATATACGTGAAAGGCAGTAACACAGCTTCCTTCTACTAAGTAATGCAGGCTGCTTCAGCTTGTACAATGCCCTTTGCGGAGTTTCCCTCATGTAGCTCTCGACCAAAAACGTTTTCCTTCTGAACGTGCCAGATGACATGGTTGAAGACTCATGAAGAGCCCTTGAAGTCCCTAGCAGTCTGTTGTTCGTGTTACAACCGAGTGAGTAGAACATCGTAGTCGAAAGATGAGTATCGACTATAGATGATGAGGTATTCGATAAGTTCATCGACCGCTCTGTGCAACTATTGCGAAAAAAATCCCAGGAAAAGGCGCAGAGGTGAATCCGATGATGTATCCCATTGAGGGACATTCGTGAACAGTGCTTGTTTACTGATCCAGAAAGGTGGTGAAAAGTTGATGGGGAACACCCAAGTATGGCAAGTAAACAAACTATATCTCAAGAACCTGAACGTGAAGGACGGACTCGTAACGTGAAGATTGTGGGGGCCACTCTGGGATGGCCAAGGGATGGCTGGACACTGGCTCTTTGTCAGTCTCTCCGGTTGTTGACCTCGTCATGGATGTCCTCAGGCTCCCGTGTTGCAGATTTTCCTGTTCTCCTCGTCTCGTCTGGTTCGCAGCTGTAAAGGGCACTCCAAGGCTCAGAATGGTCTGTGGGAGATTGTTGGCAGTTTTGTGGGTGTTTGCCGCCTCTTTCCTCTATGTACCTTCCTCAATGGTCGCAGATTCAGCTAAGTCGGAATGCACAAATGACAGCGACTTCTCGAGGAACAACAGCTCATTGCAAGTCGTAACTCATGTTTGTATCTCGGTGTAGGTTTTCAATGAATGATATATTGGTTGTTCTGCGGCGGGCAAGGCGCGTTGGGGCGGGTGTGATAAGCTCCACGGCCGTGATACTTGCCGTCGCTCATGCTATTCCTTTTCAGGCTATCAAAGTACAACACAGGGCCAGCAAGGACCCAGGGAGCTACCCAGGTTTGAAGCACCTCGTGGCATCCCTCTGGAAGCGGACTTTCTCTACGGCGGATCTTGAAAGTCGCAGGTTAGATGTCATTCGAATTTACGGTAAGTGAGCTCGCACCCGCAAACGAGAATGATTGCGACCTTGCAATCTGAATTTGAGAGGCAAAACACTGTACGTGATCACACAGCGATTGTAGGGCCGATCTGTGCAGGAAGGGTTCATGGAAATGCGACACAGGCATAGACAACGTACCCATTGCGATTCCGACTCTTCAATCCAATTCAAGTCCTGAATGCGACAGTTTTCTAGTGGGCCGGATGTTATACCAACCAGAAGATTTTGTAACTGGTGGGGTGGTTGCATTAGAATCGACCTTCCATTTTGTCGTTCCCCGTTGCGCTGATAGAAAACCCAAGATGAGTATACATAGTTCGTACATCACACTCGACCCAGCTAACTGCACAGACCAGCTTCTTCCGTTCCGCGCTAAGCAGCACCACACGTCTACGTAGTTCTGGGCGCTGGATATGAAGCAGGCGGTGAGAAACCCTCAGATAAAATTGGGCCGATCCCGGAGCGCTTGCATGGCAGCCTGAAAGGTAACTGATTGATAAACCAGATATGAAGAGCTCCCGTCGATGAGGGCTTACCATTTCAGCACGTTGAACTGTCGGGCCTTGGGGGTCGTGACTGTCGTCGTAATCTTGAGTCTGTTGTTCTGGTAAGGTCACGGACAAGTGAGAACGGATGTAACACACCCACCTCGACTTGAAACGTCGATGTACTGCTTGTAAAAGTAGGATCTATGACAGTGATGAGATACACGAGTTCGCCTTCTCATTGGACACGTCATTTTGGTTCAAGAGGGCATAGGCCCTTACATACGGAACCCACAATCTGAGCCGATCATGGACATCGAGTTGTACAACCCTTCTGCGGTGAAGATTCGTCGCGACTGATTATCAGGGAGTGTGTGAGAGTTGAAGTGGGGGCCAATTCTCTTGATATCAAGAATGATCAGCTTCGTACGGGGTAAAAAGCTCGAAAAGAACTGACAAGCAATGCGTACTGAGTGAAGATGCTAGTTTGCATCAGCGCCAAGCTGGCAGTGCCTAACACGTAACAAGTTGCAGCCACGGGAAAACCTGTCATTCGCGTATACTATCGGTTCTACACTGGGCAGCATCCTACTATTTCTGATGTGTCTTGGGATACAGGGAAGGGTGTTCATTTTGAACCTGGCACCCAGAAACATTGTCACCCTAGGGAAAATTTGTATCGTCCTAGGCAACCGATGACACCGAAGAGTGCTTTGCTGGCGGCCTCGATGTCGGCAAGACGCACAACTTCACTTTTCGATTCATAATTAGATCAAGCAGCTCCGTTAAAAACCAGAAAACCTTACAGGCGGCCACCACTTTCACACCTGCCGTTCGAACCGAGGGCCAACTTTTGTGAGGGAAGGATATGTCGCGCCTAGTGGTCAAGAAGTCAGATGGTGGTGACCGCCACGATGTCACTAATGGTAAGAACAGTCAGCTTCAGAAAAGGCGCGAAGCGCAAGAAACAACTTACCGTGAAGGGTGCAAGATCGAAATTCTGCACACTCGGGGGCGGAGAAGGAACAAGCTACCTAAGTGCCTTCATGAGGTGCTTTAGACAGTAGCAAATCTGGAAAGTCGTTTACCGCTACTCCAGCAAAGGCAGGTGTTTAGAGGGAGGCAGCGAACTTCCAGCATCCGCTTATTGGTGCAAAATTTCATGTACAGCTGACTTGGTCAGGCGCCAGACTAGACGACTCTAGGGCAGCATGACGGCTTAGAGTTACAGTTAGCAGTTTAGGGCCGTGAACTTCAACCAATGATTGATGAGGACTTACTAGAGTCCTGACTGGAGCCCCGAGCATCCCACACCACGCGGTTGTAGCCATATCAGTGCTTCTTTGACGCATGCCTAGTTCGGTATAAGAAATTATCTAAATGACGACCTCTTGATAAGGCAGAAAAAAAACAAATGCGATAAAGCACGCACGTTGAAAAACGGATTGATCTCCAACTTCATGGATGGTGGCAAACTTGAGCTCATGCATTGTTCTTCACACCAGTCGACTGAAGCGAAAGAACAGTCACTTTGAACCACCTACGACCGACTACGCCTGAATGCCGTACTCAAACCTATCGAGGTGCGAATATCAGTCTGAAAAGTCAACGTTTCCACCGAAATCGTTGGTACAAACCCCTTGATTTTCCGCAAGCGCGCTGACACCTCATAGCACAAGCCAGAACCGAAGTTCTGCTGAGCTGAAGTTGAGAATGAAAGGATCACGCAGGTTCACCATCCACTCAAGCACAACTGGGACAGACTTCAAGCACGCTGACACTAGTACAATCGTCGCTTGCCGATGACCCGGGACGTAGTGGCAGTACAGATTGTGTTCAGAGATGGTGGAGAACTCTGAACTAGAGAGGTAGATGGAGCTGGTGGACCCGGGTGGTGGCTGCTTTATGGGCGTGGTCGTCCGGCTATGCTGATTTCCATTCTTCAGAATCTAAAGTTCAACTCGATGGGAGGTCGAAGACAAACTCGACAAACGGTAGCAGGAGTGAATGGCACCCTCGAAGATGAAGTCGACGTCGAATTCCAAGAGGGAACAACACCCATACCAGGCGCGATACAGGGGCAACGGTTTAACTGAAGAAAATGCTCCACATAATCGTGTAAGGATACCTATTTGCTCTTATTTACACACGCATCAAGCTATAAGTAGCTCGCCTCTAGCTTTCACTCTCTTCCTTCCTTTTCCCCCGTACTTCATCTCATATACACGTTTTGGAACTGTTTTCTCCTCGCGTGATCAGTACCTTCTCACACTTTTTTTTAAACATCATCCAAACCGTGTTTCGCTCTCTCGTCCTAGTCTTCACTGGCGACAAACCAAGGTCGATACGAAGTCAGTTTCGCAAAGCGAACACGCGATTGTCGCGAACTTGTGTCGTACTCTAGTCCTCTTCCTGTCTAGGCGTCTTTTCTGACGCATATACTCGTCTTCCTGTCCAGGCGTCTTTTTCCAAGCGCATATACTCGTGTTCAGCTCCAGTCCAGTCTCACCTTTGTCTAAACTCTCAGATCACGCGCATATACTCGCCTTGTCTCGCATATACTCCAGCTAAACATCTCTTCAACACTGGACAACCGGCGTGCGACGAGAAAGATTGTGGCCCAACAAGGCTTACTCCTCGAACCACCTCTTCTCAGTGCTACTCGTCCTCGCAGAAGATCCATACCCGCCAAATCATTCTCCCCCTCCCCCCCTTCCTTGTCATCACCTCTCCTCTTGAATAGATCATCGACTCTTCTTAACAATAAACCACGACTGCAACCCACACCAGATTCACCAGACTCCACAACCAGTTCTTCCACGTGCAGCTCGCTTCTTGATTTTGCTCTTGTCAC